GTGTTCCCCCGACTGCCGTCGTTATGCCGTTGAAGTGGTGGATGTCGACGTACGTATTTGCCATGACATCCAGCTCCATGATCGTGTCTGAGCACAGGCACACAGGCATTACGTCAATCACGAGTGACGATGGGTAAGGGGTGTGAGGGCGGGCATGGGCCGGGCAGGCTGCGAATGAGGCGGGCGAGCACGGCGCGCACAGTAGTCGTCCCCCGATTTCTTCAGGAGTTGCAGTGGATTGCCCCATGCACAGTCGGCGGCCGACTGCAGCTCGCGTACCATACGCGGTGATGATAACTGAGGGGCGGACGACTCTGGCGGCGGCGGCGATGGTGGTGGCGGAGACGGCGGGAGCAGCGGCGACGGCGGTGGCGACGGTGGTGACGACGGCGATGGCGATGAGGGCGGTGCGTTCGCCGCCACCACTGAAAACGACAGGAGGAGGAGGAGGCCTGACGCCGGTAGCAGTCGGCTAGAATCGGCCGCGGAGCATGGGGGCATCGGCGGGTGTGGGGGCTGTCGACAGTCGATGGTCCGCCCGTCGCACGGGTTGGTCCGCGCGGTCAAGTTGGAACAACCTGGGCACGAATTCGATGTGGCTGTTTTAGGTTTGTTGGCAAATCAAGACACAGAGCTCATACAGGATTGCGGTTGGGCCGCGCGCGGGCCTTAGGGCGGGCCTGGCAGCCCGTGTGAAGCGTACCGTTCACGGTCTTTCCCTCGAGCCACAGCGGTGTGGAGAACGACAGACAGCCGCTGCGTCTGCAGCCCGTGCCAGTTCTTGGTGGTCCATGTGACCTCATCGAGGTGCTGTGCACACTTGGAGCACTTGGAGTTCCTCAGCTGTTCGAGTAACTTGTCACGCCCGCAACACGGCGAAAGCCACGTGGCGCGAGTGCCGCGGATGGTCGCGCACCACTGCCCGCGCAAGGCGCGCGCTGCGCTGGCCGAACGCCTCAACTCTGACGCCTGCCGCATCCACCTCCTCGACCTTCCCGTCGAAAAGCAAATTCGGCTGGCAGTCGCAAGCCGGCTGCCCTCCGGGATCCCCGAAGATCCCGTCGGCTGGGAAGATCACCAACTGGCGGTCGAGCTCCGTCTCGCGCGCGCCCTCGCCACCCACGCCTGGCGTGCACCGAACGCCTCGAACGCCGATGCCGTGCTCATCCTCACCAACCGCTCGAAGCTGTGTGCGCCGATGTTTCAAGCGAGCGGCCGAGGTGCCAAGGGCATGGCGTATGCGCTCGGCGCCTACTCCAAGGCATTGTGGGACGCCGCGCTCCGCGCCGCCGCGGCGCTGCCACGCGGCACGGCGCCGGTGTTGCAGGTGGTCTCGGAGCAGGACGGCGCGTGCTCGCGGCTACCGATGCCGCCCGACGTGGCGGCCGGCGACGACGAGGGCAGGCGGCCCACCCTCTACCTCGTCGAAGCGCTGATCAACGCGCGCGTCGTGGGCAAGCGCGCGCAGTTCTTCCACTCCCCGACGCCCTTTGCGCGGCGGCCGCTCCAGCTGCCTGCCGTCGGCGCGGCAGCCGAGTGGGGCGCGCGCGATCCCGCGACGCGGCTGCTCTTCGCGGGCCACGTGCCCAAGCTCTTCCAGTCGCTCACGCGCTACCTGCTCTGGAAGCAGCTGCGTAACGACTCGCGTGCCACCACGCAGTCACGCACGATCAACTGCACCGTCGGCGCCTACGTTGCCGCGTGCAGCCTGAGCGCGTCGCAGGTCGCGGCGAAGCCGGCCCGCTGGTTCGAGCACGACTTTTGCGCGCCGTATTGCGCGGCGGACTGGGCCGAGCGCGCGAGCTCCTCCACCCCCTCGTGTGGCACCGGCCAGCGAGCCGACGCGACGGTCCCGCAGCTGGCGCGCGCGCTCAAGTCGCGCTGCGCGCGCTACCGGTCGCACGCAAGTCTCGACGAGCTGCCCGACATGGCGCGCGATTCGGCACGGCGCATGGACTACGCCACGTACGGGCACGCCGCGAGCCACCGCTTCTGCCTCGTGGTCCCAGGCGACTGGGCGGGAACGCCCAAAGTCTCTGAGATGGTGGCAGTCGGCGGCGCCGGCGGCTGCATCCCCGTGTTTGTCCTGCCGCACGACGGCTCGGAGGGCCAGGTGGCGCGGCTGCTTCCATACGGCCGGTGGCTTGACTACTGCGAGATCGGCTACGTCACGCCAGCGAAGGTCGCGCAGCGCAACATGAGCGCAATCATGGATGCGCTCGCCAGGGTGAGCGCAGCCGAGGCGGCGCGCAAGCATCGCGCGCTGCGCTGCGTACGCGACGCCTTCGTGTTCCCGGGTGGGTTGCAGGACGTGTGCACTGGCGAAATTGCATTCGACTCGCAGCCGCCCGAGGAAGGGTGCCCCTGCGGCTGCGGCTGCCAGTGCCCCGCCGCGTCGACCGGGGGCGCCACGCAGGAGCTTCGGATGAAGCGAGTCGCCAAGGTCTACGGCGCGGAGGATGCTACCGCCATCCTCGACCTGGACCTGGTCGTGGTGAATAAGACGCTGTATGTGCCATGGTCGAGCGCGCAGAATGGCCGCAGCTCGGGCATGTCCTTTGCTCAGATCTCGCTCGCAGCGAATGAGGAGGCAACCTTCAACTTTCGGTTCGAGGACTCAACGTCCGGCGAAGTGACGCCGATCGCGTATGGTGCGACCCGCACTCGCAGCAACTGCGCGCCGTTTCCGCCTACGTGCCGTGCTCTGCGGTCGCCAAGGTCTACGGCGCGGAGGATGCTACCGCCATCCTCGACCTGGACCTGGTCGTGGTGAATAAGACGCTGTATGTGCCATGGTCGAGCGCGCAGAATGGCCGCAGCTCGGGCATGTCCTTCGCTCAGATCTCGCTCGCATCTCTGTTGTGCGAGGCGTGAACCGCGCCATTCGCTCTCACCTGGCAACCCTGTCTGCACGTCTCGCGCGCGCGTGAACAGGGCTCCAGGCCCCAAATGACGTGTGAGTGTTAGAGTTGTTTGGTATTGCTAAAAATCTCTCTCACTCACATTTGCCTTGTTGGTCTTTAAAAACCTCTCTCTCCCAAGTCATGTCGTTGCTCAGGTCCACTCTCGTTTCGAGCACTTGAACCTCAACGGTCGGTGTTGGCACTGGGGTTCCCTTCGGGTATATCGTGACAGCTGATGCCGGGATTACCACTGGTGTTTCGTCCCTTGAAATTCTTTTTGCGCGCTGGCCTTTCGTTGACAGCACCATTTGCGAGGTGCAGAGGCAAAAAACCAACAGCCCTCTCGATGGTGTCATTTGCTCCGCTGCTTCCCGCGCTCCTCCCCCTCGCCTTCCAGCATCCCGGCGCCCTGCTGCAGCGCGGAGCGCCGTCGCGCTGCGCCTCTTCGCCTTCGCGTGTGCCGCAGCCCTCGCTTCAGCAGCCGCCGAACAGCGGAGATGCTCCGCTGCTGCCCTGGGTGCGGCCGGCGCTGGTGGGAGCGTCGGCGGCAGCGGTGGTGGCGGGCGGCGCGCTCATGCTTCCGGGCGTCGCGCACGCCTCGATCCTCGACTCTGCGTTTGTGCAGTCCACCTCGCTCATCTTCATCTCGGAGCTGGGGGACAAGACCTTCTTCATCGCGGCGCTGCTGGCGGCGCGCGCGTCCAAGCTGCTGACGTTCGCGGGCTGCGCCGGCGCGCTCGCGCTCATGACCGTGGTTTCCGTCCTCATCGGCCAGATCTTCCACCAGGTGGCCGGGAGAAGACAGCTCTCACGCACCATAGCCCTCCATGCCCAGCACGGGCTCGCCAAGACGGTGGCTGCATGCACCAGGTGCCGGCCGGCTTGACGCGCGGCCTGCCGCTCGACGACTACGTCGCGATCGCCTCCTTCGTCTTCTTTGGCATCAAGGCGATCCTGGACGCGGTGCGCGCCATCCGGCCCGGCGCAGAGGGAAGTGTCTAGGAAGTGTCAGGAGTGTCTAGGAAGTGTCTAGGAAGTGCCACCAGGCCCGGAGCAGAGGCGGGTCCACCACACGCCGCCGCTCAGCCGCCGATGGCACGCCCCCGCAGGCGCAGATCGAGGAGGACGGCGCGGGCATCGCCGAGGAGTCGGAGGAGGCGGAGGAGACCCTCGAGCAGTCGGGCCTCTATGGCAAGTCTGGCTGGCCGCTGGTCCTCGAGGCTTGCACGCTCACCATCGCGGCCGAGGTCGGTGACCGGTCTCAGATCGCGACCATCGCGCTGGCCGCGGCGCAGAACCCGTACCTCGTCGCCTTTGGCGCCATCGCGGGCCACTGCGCCGCCACCGGCATGGCCGTCCTCGGCGGCTCCTTCATCTCAAAGTATCTGTCCGAGCGGGTCATCGGCTTTGTCGGAGGGGGTCTCTTCCTCGTCTTCGCCCTCACCACGGCCGTCGGGCTATTCTGAGCGAGGCGTCTGGACACCTCTTCTGAGCTTCTGAGCAGCGCCTCGTCTGAGCTGCGCCTCGGAGTGCCGCGGGCGCGCGCCCCGTCTCTGTTGAGTTGGTGCTGCTGGGGCGGCTCCTCTGGCCACCGCAGCACCCTCTCTTTGACCCTGTCCGTCTTCTCTCTCTCCACTCTCGTCTCGAACTCTATAGTTCTAACGTCTATGATGACCAGTTACATAATTATATCCGTGTCGCCTATAGATCGATCCGCTATTAGGCGCTATCGCGCGTGACGTGATTCGTCATAAACAGACCCGGGCATGATTGATTTGCTTATCGGTCATATGTGTTACGGCTCTATGATTATCTGCAATCTGGTCAGGATTTGATTTTTTTGTGCAGGGGCACACCGCACCACAAAAAACCGAAAACGAGACAGCGAGGATTTTTGTCCGAAATTTTGTGTCCCGAAGAAGTTTTTTATATGTGAGTTCAAAGAAACCCGCAATCAAATCTCGCGAGAGAGAGGCGGGCGTTGCTTGGTCCTCGCACGCACGCAACCCCCCCCCCCCCCCCGGCCAAAGTATAGCTTTCTACGTCTAACAGCGTCTGCTACAATACGGGCGTCGCGGCCCCTGGTTGCGCGCCCTCCTCCCACCAGAGCGGCGGCGAGGTTGGCAAGCGCGCGGTCAGTATCTCTGCGCCCGACTCGTGCATCAGCAGCTGGTGCTCGAACTGCGCGCTCGGCTTGCCATCCTTGGTGACGGCGGTCCAGCCGTCGGCCCAGTGGACGTCCTTCCACGTCCCCGTGTTGATCATCGGCTCGATGGTGAAGCAATGGCCGACCTTCATCACGAACTTGGCCTTGTTGCCCGCGTAGTGCGGGATGTTTGGCGCGCAGTGAAAGTACTCGCCCACGCCGTGGCCGCAGTAGGTCTTGTCGACCTGTTTACGGCGGCACGCGTGAGGAGGCGCCGTTCACAGCTGTCGCCCGCCCATCTCGCGTGTGAACCGCAAATCCGCAGCCGTTGATGTGGCTGGTGATGATGCCGCCGACGTCGCGGTAGAAGAAACCCGGCTTGCAGGCGTCGATCGCCTGAGACACGCTCCTTCCCGAGTGAGCGGGCGGCGCGTCGCTGGAGAGAGTCTGCACGCGCGTGTCTCGCCTTCATGAGCGAGTCGTGCGACGCCTTGATCAGGTCCTTCTTCTTTTGCGTCACGCCCGGCCCAACGCAAAACGTCTCGTTCAGGTCCGCGTGGAAGCCTATCCACCAAAGCAGAGACGCCGCGGTCGGTGCACCGCAGCCGTTGTGCGCCGAGGCTGCGGGGGCCGCCGTCGAAGATCGGCGACACGTCGATGTTGACGATGTCGCCGTCCTCGAGTTGTCTCATGTCGGGGATGCCTGCTCGGGGCCGGCGGGCAGGGCAAGGAAGCTTGCGGTGAGGTGGGGCGGCGCTCGCTCCGCGCGGCTGCTGCGTGGAGTCTGCGACACCGTGGCACACCACCTCGTTGACCGAGGTGCAGACCGACTTTGGGAAGTTGTGGTAGTTGAGCGGCGCGGGGTAGGCGCCTAGCCCACGCGTGACGGGGTCTCATCCACCGACGGCTGAGATGGTTGAGCGGCGCGGGGGAGGGCGCCAAACTCCATGTGCTTGTCGTGCACGACGCGGTCGATCTCGTCCGTCGTCACTCCCGGCTTGATGACCCGGTGCGCCGCGTCCACGATCTCCCTCCCCATCCGGCACACAGCCCTCAGCTTCTCCGCCTGCGCCGCGCTCACCACCGGGGGAGTCGACCTCGCGGGGGCAGCCTGCTCGGCGCGCGGGTCGCCGTCGGCGGCGTAGTCCGGCAGCAGGATCCCCTCGGCGACCGGCCGCCGCGGCGACACGCGGTACGGCCGCAGCGACCCCGTGTAGCTGAAGCCCGGCCGGCGGCCGGCGCGGCTGGTGCCGTGGTCGAGGACGTACAGCCACGGGCCCGAGTCCTCGATGCTGGCCGGGTGGCCCCCGCCCACCTGGTGCCAGCAGGCTGGCCCGCGCTGGAGCTCGGCCACCACCACCGCCACGTACTCCCGCGCAGGGTCGTACGCCGCCAGCCGGCCGTCGAGGCCGTCGAGGCCGTCGGCGCCGTCGAGCGCCTGCTCGAGCTCCTCCTGCCGCACCCACTTGCTGCGCGAGAGCAGCGCCTTGAAGCGGTCGCCCACCGTGCTCGCTTTGCTGGCGCACGTGAGCTTGCTCACCGTCTGGACCAGCTTGAGCGGGCCACGGAAGACGAGCGCGCCGCGCTCTCCCTCGGGGTGGAGCGGGTCGACCGCCCTCTCCTTGAAGCGCGGAAAGGCCTCCATGATGCCCAGCAGCTCCTTGGCGGCGTCCTCGGCCGCGTCGAGGTCGGCCATCGCCGCAGGGAGGCTAGCGCGACGACGCGGCCGCCCACACGGGTCGAGGATACCTGGTACGAAAAAATAACACTTTTGCGGCCAGGGTGGGGCGCGCGCGGGGGGCGGCGGGTGTGCGGGATGTCTGTGGGCCCGAGAGCGATATGCCATGTCCGCCTTGCGTTTGTTTCATAACATCGAAGGCTAAGCTCAAAAAATAACGCATCGCGGGAGACTTAGCGGGCCGTTACGGAAAAGCATGCGCGACGCTGCCTCTTTGCACCGCTCGCTCACGGCTGCGGGAGACATGGCCGCCGATGCGGCTCGCACTCGCTCGGCGGGCCTCCGTCCCACAGCCGCCCGGGCGTGCCACGGGTCTGCCTGGCGCTGCGCTGCTCGCACGCTGCACTGCACAAAGCTGCGACAACAAGGGGAGGCTCCTGAGCTTGAGCGTTGAGCAGTGCAGCTGCGGGCGCTCGTGGGCGGCTGTGCAGTGGTGAGAGTGCCTGATTGGAGGCGAGCTGGTGCTGCGCCAGGGTGCGCAGCATGCGCTCTTGCTCTGTGCTGAGGCATGCTGGCTGGCGCCCAACACAATGCCCTGGATGCATTGCTCCACGCCGTGCTGGCTGGTGCAGTACTGCCAGTGCGCCGACTGGCGCGCAGGGTGCGCGTCGCCGCGCGTGGCACGGGTGGCTCGAGAGGCGCGGCTGTCGTTCAACCCCGCGGCGCATGTGCGCCGCGGAAGCTGCTCGACAGGCTGCGGGCATCGCTGCGGCAGAAAGCGCCCGCCCTCTGCTTTGCTTTCGCCCGCGTTTTACGACAACTTTCGGTTTATCATAGCCGCCGAACTTTACCTCGCTGTTTCTTTATAGGCGTCTCGCAGCTGCGTATTCTCGTATTATCTTCGAGTAGTTGCGTGGGGGCGGTATGTATTCTCGTATCAGTAGTTAGTGTCGTGTCCACTAGCTCCGAGTAGAGGGGGCGTCCTTGCAGTTAAGGGGAAACCTGGTACGCGGGGCTAACCCTCGGAGAGTATTCTTTAGCTCCGAGTAGAGGGGGCGTTCCGCAGCTAGGGGGACCCACAGCGCGAGGGAAAAATTCCGCCGCTGGGGGAACCCCGGAGCGCAGAACTAACCCTCGGAGACCCGTGTTTACTTTAAGGCCCTTGCCCTGCGAATGCGCGCCCCCCCCCTAGATAGGGGTCAGGGCTCTCTAGCCCGTAGCCCGATCCCGATCATCCGGCCCGCTGGATGCGCTTCTCAGCTCACCGGCCCTGGATGTGAGGTTACTGACTGCACTCCAAGTGCTCCAAGCGGGATTTTTTGGACGTTTCTTTCTTTCTTTTTCCAAGTGCTCCGCATAGTATGTGGGAGACTCCTGCCGCCGCCCCTGCCACCCCTGTCAGTGTGCCTGTGGCAGCGAGAGACTGCCACTGAGAAGCTGGAGGCAGGTAGGTCGCTAGACTGAGATGAGACCGCCAAGTGGAGTTGGGAGTCCACCGTGCACCGCGCTGCGAGCCTGTCGTGTCCCTTGTCAGGAGCAGGAGAGCCCCACCTGTGCCCCTGATCGTCCTTCCAAAATCCTGCTCGTGCAGGTGTGGACCCTGTCCTCCTCCCCCATCCCTCGTTTGGGCTTGTCTGTTTTCTTTCTTTCTTCCAAGTGCTCCAAGTGCTCCAAGGCACGCGATCCTTTGGTTTCTGTTTTCTTTCTGCAGAAGAGAGGAAAAGCGAAAATGCCAGCAGACATCTCCAGAGAGGGAGCGAGCGAGCGAGCGAGCGAGAGAGCTAGCGTGACTGAGCGACCGTGCGAGAGAACTTTACAACAAAACTCCCTCGCAGCGAGAGAAAATAGAGAGCGCGCGCGAGAGAGAGCGAGAGAGAGAGCGAGAGCAAGAGAGAGAGAGAGAGAGAGAGAGAGAGAGAGAGAGAGAGAGAGAGAGAGAGAGAGAGAGAGAGAGAGAGAGAGAGAGAGAGAGAGAGAGAGAGAGAGAGTTTTACAACAAAACTCCCTCGCACAACACTGGGCACGGGACTGGCGCGCACTGGCACTAACACAGGTACACCACGAGAGAGAGAGAGAGAGAGAGAGAGAGAGAGAGAGAGAGAGAGAGAGAGAGAGAGAGAGAGAGAGAGGGAGAGAGAGAGCGAGAGAGCGAGAGAGCGAGAGAGAGAGAGAGAGAGAGAGAGAGAGAGAGAGAGAGAGAGAGAGAGAGAGTGAGTGAGTGAGTGAGTGAGTGAGTGAGTGAGTGAGCGAGTGAGAGCGAGAGCGAGAGCGAGAGCGAGAGCGAGAGCGAGAGCGAGAGCGAGCGAGAGCGAGAGCGAGAGTGAGAGCGAGAGCGAGCGAGCGAGAGGAGCGAGAGCGAGAGCATTTCGTGCGTGTGCAGCACTGTGTGTGAAGAGTGATGACTTCTGACTGTCGTCGCTGTCTCTCCCTTCTCGACTGTCTGTGCTTGTGAGATTTTCGAAAACCAACAAGAAACTGAGAGACAAGCCGTGGGGCCGGTCCCGTAGCCTCTTGCGTGTGCGTCTTGCTTGGGCCCGGGGTTGTGTGTTTTGTGTTGTGTTTGCGTGAAGAGCTCTTTTCATTGTGAAGTCGGCCTCTAGCGCGCGAAAGGGTTTTTGCTCGCCTTCCCGGGGACCACGTGTTGTCTGACCCTCACTGTGCTGCCATGGACAGGGTTTCCGGGAGGAGCGATTTGTGAGAAGAGGGTGACTTCTGACTGTCGATGCTGTCCATCCACCGGACGCGAGGGTCGCTGGGTCGGTCGGTCGGCTCCTCACTAACTCGCTGCATATAGCAGCGATGAGCTCACTAGCTGCATGTGCATGTAGAGCTCACACTAGGAGAGAGATTGTTTGTTTTGTTTGTCACACTAGAGGCCGTCATCGCATTCGCCCTGGGACCCAGCGCTGACTTCTGACTGTCGTTGCGGTCTATCCCTTTCTCGACTGTCTGAGCCTGTGCGTCTTGGGTTGGGCCTTGTGTTTTTGTGTGAAGAGCGTCGATTTCGGGCCTTAGGTTGTGCGTTTATGTGAAGAGCGTCGCATCGGAACGAAGATCGACCGGCGGCCAGTTTCAGAAGGAGGCGCATCGCAGCTGCTCCATGGGCGTGAGCGCCTCAACAGGCCTGCTGTCGACGGCCCAGGTGTCCACCACCGACGAAGAGTGGGACGTCTACTTTCAGAAGCTCGAGAAGAACCTAAAGCGCGCCCGTCCCAAACGCAACACCTCCGAGGCCACAGCCGGCGGCCTCTGCCTAAGCCCTCGAGCCGGCATCCCTCGTAGGTCCAAGGAGAAGATAAACATCCAGTCAAAGCTGAGCGCCAACACCGCCCTCTCCTACGCCGCCATTAACGGAGCCTCGGCCGCCGTGATCGACCGTCTCGTCGCCGCCGGGTCTGCGTTGGAGATGACCGACGTCGACGGCTACACGCCCCTGCTGCAAGCGGTCGCGTCGCACCCAGTCAAGTGCCGCGAGGCGGCCGAGCGGCTCCTGCACCACGGCGCCAGCCCGCGCGCAGCCACCGCCAACGGCTGGACGGCGCTGCACTGGGCGGCGTACAAGAACTCGCCCGCCTCGCTCATCGATGCGCTGGTGGCGGCGGGCGCGAGTGCGCCTCTGCCACCGGGCGGGGGAGGTGGCGCGTGGCCGTCGGCGCGACCGCCCCCCCCGTCCGCCACCCCGTAGGCGTCGAGGCCAAGAAGAGGGACGGCGGCGAGACCCCCTTCCTCGTCGCGGCCCGCGCGTCGCACCTCGCGTGCGCTGAGCGGCTGGTCCACAAGCACAAGGCGGACCCTCGCGCAGTCAACGTGCGTGGTGAGGCGGTGCTGCACGTCGCGGCGCAGCACGGCGCCCTCATCGAGGTGATCGACCGGCTGGTCGACATGGAGTGCGACATCGAGGCCAAGAAGGAGGACGGCGCGACGCCGCTCCTCGTCGCCGCGCGGAACGGACACGTCCACGTGGTGGAGCGACTGCTCCGGCACGGCGCCGACGCGAGCGCGGCGATGAAGAGCGGCTGGACGGTGCTGCACTGCGCCGCGCATCACGGGGCGCCGCGAGAGACCGTCGAGAAGCTCGTCGCGGCGGGGGCAGAGGTCGACGCCGTCGACCGGCGTGTGCCCGCACCACCACTCTCCCCCGCGCACGAGAGGCTGGCCGGGCGCAATCTCGGCTGATCTCGGCTGATCTCCGGTGTGGCAGGCGCGGGAGGACGGCCCTGCACGAGGCGGCGTCGGCGGGGGAGGTCGAGGTTGCGGAGGCGCGTTGCGCGTGCCTCCCACACACCCGCGCACACTAGGCGTCTAGGCCTTGCAGCCCTAGTGGCAGCCACGACCGAGATCTGCGGCGGGCGCGGGCTTGGGGGGAGGGGGGAGGGGGGGGGGGGGGGGGGGATCCCTTCGGGCGCCCCGCGCCTGGTCCCTCGGGGGGGGGAGATGCCACGGGCCCCCCCCCCACTGTTGCTGCCCCCAAAGCAGTGGCCGCAGCAGAGGACGCTGCTTCCCCCCTCCCACCCTCTCTCTCCCCACCCGCCCACCCTGCACCCTCTCGCACAGGTGCTCGTCGATCTCGGCGCGGACCCGACTCGAAAGAGCAAGGCGGCCCTCAGACCGCACACGCCGAGCAGCGGGCGACACTCTCGGTGGTGTGTCTTCATCGCTGGCCATCTGCGGCGCGATATAGGCGGGCCAGACGCCGAGTGAGCGGGCGCGTTCGAACAGCTGGGTTGCGACCAGCGCGGACCGCGCGCAAAAGTCGCCCGGCGCGCTCAAGCGGATGGGGCTCGTGGCTCATCTCTTCACCATGACGCTCTGCCGCGTGTGTCGCGCTTCACAGCTCTTTACCTTCTGCTCTCAGGCTCGCGCAGTGGCTCGACGACCGGTACACAGAGCACTCGGAGCGCAGCAGCGCGCGCAAATCGGCGAAGGAACTCCGGGCATCGCAGGCGGCGGCCGAGGCTTCGATTGCCAAACTCACGGTGCGGCGCTCCGCGCAATAGACGACGAGCCGCACAAAACGCTCTAGCCCCCCCCCCCCCCCCCGCCCCACCTTACCGGCGGCGAGAGGTGCGCGCACACCGCGGCCCACGGTGCGCACTTTTGCGGCCGCTGCGCCTTCTGGCGCCCCACGCCCACACACGCGTCACGCCGGGGGGGAAACAGCGGTTTTGGTTTTCTCTACAACGTATACTGTGCTGTACGCGAAAAAGTGTGAACAGGTCGGAGCAGCTTCAGTGAGCACAGCACTGCACCACCACCTAGTGGCACGCCACGCATATGTCGGTCCCGCCGCGAGGTCTCGACAGCGTGCCGACAGAGCGACACAGACCATGTGGCAGTGGGACGCGTCGAGTATCGACCTCTAGCTCTACTGCTTACCCAGCCTTCGAGTGTATCCTGACTCTGTGGTCCCACACCCACTGGTGTGTCCATCTCAGAGACCGCAGGAGGTCATGAGGGTCAATGGGGTTGAGTGGCAGCGCAGCTCCGCCTCACGCCTCACCTGACCACGGCGCCGCCGGCGCCTGTTGATACATTGATAGGTCCAGGTGATAGCCCTGGATGAGCGAGCAATGCATACGCCTGGTCGGACCTCAGAATGATCGACCGACCGCGTCCCGGTGCTCTCTCTGCGGTCGGATGAAATTTTGTTCACGTTTTGTCGGAGTTTGACGCTGCCGCCGCGACTCCCGCCGCGAGGTCTCGCGGCCCGGGTGTTAATATGGGGCACCTGCTCGCCCTCTGGGCGTTCGCCACGGACCAGCCCGCGACCTTTGGGCGGCTCGCCAGCGCGTACGGCGTCTACTCGGCCGTCGTGCTCGCAGAGCCGCCAGGTGGAGGCGAGCGCGGCCTCTTCTGCACACGTGCTGTGGCGGCGGGCGAACCGCTGCTGGCGGTCCCGTGGCAGCTGTGCCTGGTCGACGAGGACGAGCCCGGCGACGATTCGCTGGAGAGCGTGTGGGAGCAGCAGTCCGACGCGGCCGCGCGTCCGGCGCGGGATGTGCGTCTCGCCGCTCAATTGCTGGCGCAGCTCGCCGGCGACGGCGGCGACGGCGGCGGAGACGCCGCGGAGCTGTCGCGCTTCTGGCGCGAGTGGAGCGCGATGCTCCCGCCGGCCGCTGCCTGCGCTCACCCGATGACTCTTCCCGACGCGCTGCTCGAGGAGCTGCAGCACGCGCCTCTCGCGGAGGCGGGCCGCCGGCAGCGCCGCCGTCTGCTGCGGCTGCTCGCCTCTGCGCCCGCCTCGAGCGACGGCCAGCGCGCCTGGGCGACGGCCATGTGTTCGAGCCGCCCGTTCCGGCTTCCGGCGCGGGCCGAGGGGCGAGGCGGCCGGACAGCCTTTGTGCCCTTTCTTGACATGGCCAACCACGCCGCTTCGCCGAACTGCGAGGTGCAGGGCGCGGGCGGCGCGCCGGGCGCCTTCGAGGCGGTGGCGCTGGTGGCGACGCGCAGCCTCGACGCGGGCGAGGAGGCGAGATATCGCCTGGAGCGGCGGCGCCGCCACGCCCGGAGGCGGAGCCTCCCCCTGAGCCGTCTCGGAGCTGCTCCTGCAGGCACTCATCTCGTACGGTGGCACCGCCACGCACGCCGCCCTCTTCTCCGGCTTCGGCTTTGCGCCCGCCGAGAGCCGCTCCGACCGGCTCGAGCCGTTGCCCGCCGGATTGGCGCCGCTCTCGGGCGCCGCGCTCAAGCGCACCCTGGCGGCGCGCCCACCGGAGGCGTCGCCGGCGCTGCTCGAGGCGGCGCTGCTCTCGCTGCCGCTCCGCCGCGGCCCCTCCGCCGGCGAGCCGAGCGAGCACGCCGCGGCGAGTGCGCTCCTCGCTTGGCTCGCGGACACGTCGAGCGACTTTGCGACGAGCGAGGCGCAGGACGAGGCGACGCTCGTCGGCATGGAGGGCGAGCCGGCCCACGACCCCAGGTTCGCCGCCGTCGTCCGGTATCGGCTGTCGAGGAAGCGGCTTTGCCGGCTCGTCGCCGAGGTGCTCGAGGCGCACAGGCGCGAGCACCTCCCCGCCGCGCAAAGACCGTGACTCTGGTGCTACTTCAGCACACCCGACGGTGGACTTTGCATACAAAAAAAGATATGTCAGACCCAGAGCCGGCACAGCCGCGCGCGCCGAATAAAAAACAAACTAACAAAGCCGTAAACAGGCGGAGCTGCCTGTCCCGGAGGAGGGCGACAGCGGCGACGCGGCAGCCAAGGGCGGCAGCGGCGGTGATGGCGGCGAGGAGGCGCGGGGCCTGGCGAGCATTGCGTGTATGCGATGATCGGCGAGTTGGTGCTTCATGTTTGATGGGTCACTGACAGGCGAGGCCAGCAGTTCGTTTGATGCTGAGGTGTCGAGAGGATGAGTTGTGGGTGGGTCTCTGACAGGCGCGCTTCTTGGCCAACACCGCGTACTGCTACCGGCTGTGCGAGGGGTTCGTCGCGGAGACGCTTCAGGCGCTAGAGAGGGAGAGGAGAGAGGCGAGGAGGAGTCGCTATGGTAGAGGAGAGAGGGGAGGAGGAGTCGCTACGGTAGAGGAGAGAGGCTCGTGCAATCTCGTGCAATCTCACATGCAATCTCGTGCAATCTCGTGCAATCTCTGCCCGGGATGTGGAGCTCACCTCCCGAGCGCAGTTCCGGCGCTGCTGACCCAAGGCCAAGGGCGGCACGATCTCGGGGCCTTCCCTTTGACCCTCAGGAGCTCCCCTCCAGGCTCTGCTGGCCAAGGCCAAGGGCGGCAAGGCGATCGCCAATGCCGCTCCTTCTGCGCGCGCGTGTAAATGACTGATTCTGGGGACCGCGACTCAATAACTTGCAGAGTGGCAGCCGGTCCTGCCGACGATTCTTCTCCAGTCGGCGATCGGTCATTGCTCATTGCCAATGATTTCAGGCGACCGTTGATGCCGCCTCTGCGGGTGGCGCGCTCCTGCAGGCGTACCAGGAGGCCGGGCAGGAGCGGCGGCAGGTCGTGCCGGTGTTTGCGATCAGTGCGAGAATAATGGTGAATGCGTGGATGAATAGGAGTGGCAGCAGGTCGTGCTTGTGCTTCGCTCCTCGGCCGCGGGTGCGGACGGAGTCGCTCTGAACCGCCCCTTGGCGGCGCGCGGGAACCGGCAGCTGGCGGAGCTGCTGCTGCGGCAGACGGGAGAGGCGGAGGCGCTGGTCGGCCCGCTGCTCGCCATATCTCCCCATATCTCCCCATATCTCCCCATATCTCCCCATATCTCCCCATAGGCGCTAGCCGGCCCGCTGCTCGCCGCATTCGGCGACGATTTGTGCGCGTACTTGGGAGGGCCGTCGGGGCAGGAGGAGGACGGGCTGCTAGTGCGTAGCGACGGGTCGCTAGAGGCGCCGTTACTAGTTGTCAAGCGCCGCACTCCTTACCAATCCAGGTCCACGGCGACGGGTCGCTCGAGGGTGCAGTCGAGGTGAGTGTCGCCCGGGACGCGCATCTTCACAGGCGGAGAGCGTGCGGCCATCGAGGCCGTCGCCGCCGGCCGCGCCTGACCGCTCGCGTCCCGTGAGGTCTTCTCGGCTTGTTAAGCGATCAGTGCATGCTAGTTTATAGGCCGCGCCTCGCCGCTCGCGTTCCGCTGGTTCCTCGGCCGCCACACAGGCCTGACCACCGACGAGGGCGTGTGGCGGGCCGTCGCGTGCGCGCGGCCGGTTGCGCTTAAGCAGTGCCTCCGTTTGCTGCCGGATCGATAAAGTCAGGTACAGGTTGCGCTGAAGCAGTGCCTCGGCCTGCCCAAGCCGCTGTGGCACGAGGTGATGGAGCTGTGCGGCGGCGAGTGCGCCACGCTGAGCCGGCTCGAGACTCCTTCTGGCGCGATGACCTGCCGTGAACGGCGCCTCTTCACGCGTGGCAGCTATGAGTAGGCTCGAGATCCTCAAGCGGGACGACCTGCCGAGCGAGGACGACTGACGCCTGAGGCAGCGCCACGAGCCTCCCGCTGAGACCCGAGTCGACGGCAGTAGAGGCGGAAGTGTCGCTGGGAACCGCCGCGGCCTGTGGCGACGTTGCGGTGCACGTCGTCCCAGACCTGCCCGTGCCACTCGCAAACCGCTCGTGCGCTCACGGCTCGAGCTCGAGCTGCATCCGCGGGGCATGCTGCACGCCAAGCGGCAACGGGTGGAACAGCCTCAATTTGTGCAGGGCGGGCGAGAGTGCGTGCCTAGGAAAGCCTTTGAATCTCGCTGCCTCGGCCAACTCGCCCGTCGCCTCGCTCACGCGCGAGACGAACGAATACCTGCTGGCCGCGCACTTCAAGGAGCGGCTGGCTGCGTGCAGCGTCGCACCGGAGCGCGCCGATCTGGTTCTCGTCCCGTACCTCGTGGGCGAGCTGAAAGCGCTCCGGAGTTTGGGCGCGGCGACTGTCGATGGCAGCTACGACGCCCGCATCCGGTCACACCTCGCCCAAACAGCGGCTTGGCGCCGGTGCGGCGGGTGCGACCACGTGCTCGTTCTCTCCCACGACGTCGTCTTCCTGCGGAGGAGGAGCTTCGCCACGGGCTTTGGATTCCGGCCTGGCGACGGATTTTGGAGCAACGTGACGATGCTATCGATCTGTGCAGACCCGCGTGTGCCGCAATCGTTTGGCGTCCCGTACCCTAGCTTTGTGCACGCCTCGGGCCCTGAGGACATGGCGGCGTGGTCGCGCTTTGTCCTTGGCAGGCAGCGGCATAGACGGCTGATGCTAGTGTCCGGCCGCCACGGCACGATAGGCAGGGACCACGGCCGCTCGCGGATCATGCATGGCTGCCAGCACGACGAGAGCTGCCACTTGCACTCGTGTGATGGCAAGCACGCGTGCGAGCCTCAGAAGGTCGCGGCGCTCTACCTTGACTCCGTGTTTTGCCTCCAACCGCCGGGTGACGCCGTGTGCCGGCGCGGCGTGTGGGACGCGCTGCTCAGCGGCTGCATCCCCGTCACTTTCCCTGCGATGGGCGCGGGGATGATGCCTGGCGCCTCCCTTACACGGATCTACCCGTGGTTCCTGCCCCCGGGGACGCCCGCACTCGTCGAGGCCGACGACTACCGCGACGCTGCCGAGAAGGTCCGCTCCATGCCAGACGCCGAGATGCGCGAGCGCCAGCACGCAATCGCCGAGCTCCTCCCTCGCCTCGCGTACGCCACCTCCTTCGCCGCCGGCGAGGACGCCGTGGCAACCGCGCTTCGATCGGCGCGGGAGCGGGTTCGTGCCTTGAGAGCGAGACGAGAAAACCGCGGCTCGTTTCTTTAGAATTGGAGCACTTGGATTGATTGTTTTCTTCTCGCACCTCAACCTCTCATGAACGCGAACTGGCGATGTTCCGCGAGCTCCTCCGGCGCCTGATCGACGTGTTCTCGCGCTCGCTCTTCCGGATCATGCCGCCTTCGCCGCTCTTCCGGGCAGCAGGCTGCAGCGACGACCCGCCACGTCTACTCCTCGTCGGCCTGGGTAATCCCGGCCGGCAGTACGAGAGCACGCGGCACAACGTCGGCCGACTTGCGCTGGAAGAAATCTGCGTGGCGGCCGGCATTGCGCCGTTCGAAAAGCACGCCACAGCTGACGTCGCCGTCGGCACGCTCGGTTCGGTGCGGGTGGCGGCGGTGGTGCCCCGCTCGTACATGAATGTCTGCGGCGGCGCAGTCAGCGCATTGGCACGCGATCTGCGCCTGCCCGCTGCGTCGGTGCTCGTGCTGCACGACGATCTTGATCTCGCTCCCGGCAAAGTGAAGCTCAAGTTGGGCGGCTCCGCCGGAGGCGCACGCATGCACCACCTCCTCGGGACCGCGAGCCCCGACCTCACTGCTGACCTTGCTGATAGGTCACAACGGGGTCAAGTCGTGCGCCGCCGCTCTGGGCGGCGACGGCTTCTGGAGGCTCAGGCTGGGGATCGGGAGGCCGCCGAGGCGCGAGGACGTCGCAGACTTCGTGCTCGAGCGCCTCTCCGCCGCCGAACGCTCGGAGCTCCGCCTCGAGCGAATCGCACGCGCCGCGCCTCTCCTCTCCGGCTCACCCGACGTTGGGCTGACCGCCGCTACGGCGTCCTCCTTTATAAACGCGCTCACGCGGCCCGAGCCCGCTGGACAAGCCCCCGTGCCGGAGCGCGTGGCCAGCGGAGGCAAGCGGCTGAGCCGTGACGATGCTGCGCCGACCGCCGCCGCCGCAGCAGCAGCGCCGGGAGGGCCAAAAAGGCTACGGTCAGGCGACGGCGGCGCTTGCAGCGACCGCCCTGGCGAGGTGGACGAGGGGCCGAGCTGACGGAGCCCTCTCGGCGCCAGTGACGAACCGACGGACGCCTGGAATGGGATTTGGTGTTTGTGTTACACAAAGGTCAACGATTTGTAATAAATAAATAAAACGGACACCTCTACTGTGAGATGGGCAAAAAGGAACAGGTCCCCACCCGTGCGGTCTTTGTGCAGGGTTCTTGTTGTGGGTGTGGTCGGCGTACGGCGAATAGCCGCGGGGGGTCGTCCTCTCAGTCTCACGATTGGGGACACTAGGCGCGACTAGCACTAGGTGTCTAGCTCCGTCTTCCACATGGTCCCTCGCGCCTCGGGTCCCTGGCTCCCTGCTGCTCCTAATCTCTTCGTAACATCCTCCTGCTGATCTCCGCAAAGAGTCCTGCTCACCTTCCCTCGTCTCGCCCTGCGCGTCTGCTCCAACTCTCCCCGTCGTCTGTGCCCTGCGTCGTCTGGCGACGGGTCCGCCATAGTCGGTTGAGGTCGCCGCCCTCGAAAGAGTGCTGAAACCTGAAAGTGTTTTTTAAGACGTCTGATCTCTGAGGTATGATACTATCATTTAGTATGTGGATGTGCGCACAAGTCTTCATACACCATACTTCAAGTGCGCGAGTGTGAACAAGAGTGAAAAGTATTACGCCACCACATGCACATGCACTTCAGGAGGCCGTGATGCAATGCGGCTATGGCGACGAGCTCTTCCAGCCGTGGAATAGCGGCAAGATACGGCAGAAGGACTTGCCGGAGAACGGGAGAAGGTGGTGGCTCTATGACTTTGGACCTTTGCGAGAGGTGGCGAGCGGAGCAAGAGCGGTGTAGGCGCGTCCACGCTGCGCAGCGGCTCCCCCGCGACCGCAGCCCCTCTCGTAGCCGCAGCCGTAGCCGCAGCCCCAACTCGCCGCTCTTCTAGTGTTGGGTAGTGACCAGGGGTGAGGGGAGGGATTGAAGATCCCTCACACCAAGATCGTGCAGGGCGGGGACACATGTCCCCTAAATCCCATCTCGTCTCGCGCCGCCGTCACCACCGAGCACGGCCATCTCATACGTTCAAGCGGCGCCAGCCAGCGGCTCGGCCGCGCATCCTTCACACACTTCGCCACGACCAACCTGAGCGGGCCCGGTGTCGAGCCATGGTGCGAGCTGCATGTGAGGGGCGGCTGTGGCCACAGCAGGTCGACCAGATGGACCTCAAAGCTTGCCGTCGGCGTGCTGTCGTGGCGAGAGCGCGAGACCGCTGCAGAGGATCCGAGTGAAGTGGCGAGCCAGAGGCTACCTGGGTCACCAAGTGGTAGCCCTTGCCCATTCTGATCAGGGCTGTGCTTTGGTGGGGTTGTGTTCTCCAGCTCTCGCGGTGGGTGCCGGTCGCGGGGGGCGCCGGGGGGGGGCGCTAACAGACCTCTTGCGCCCGCCTAGCCAACAAAATGGTGTATCATCTTGATGCATGCAAAATTCTACATTAGAGGAGGCAGGAACCGGAGCCAGATGGCCGAAGGGGTGAACTGCTCAAGGACCTCCCATTGTCCTTGGCCTTGCCTACTCAGCAACATGCATCACTATGCACTTAAAATGCAATTACTATGCATTACAATGCAACGTATGCGGGAATGTGCATATAAATGCAATTGAATGCAGTGATCAGTAAGGGGGGAGTTTGTTGTTGCCTGACGCAAGCGCATCCGGCTCCCAGTCGTCAGGCGCGGAATCCCACCCGTCACCAGGGCGGTCCTCCTCCTCCTTAGAGACCACGTCCCCAGTTGGCTGCTTGGTTAGAGCCTTCTTCGTCTTAGTCGGCCGGTGTTGCGCCGGTGAGCTGCGCGCTTCCCGGATGTCGGCTGAACCAAACCTTTGAGAAATTGCAAATCGCAAAAGATATGCAGTCATGCCCCGAATGCATCGAATGATGCACTGTTATGCAATCACGCACAAAATGCATCGAATGCAGAATGCAACGAAATGCAATCACGCGCAAAATGCATCGAATGCATATGCAACGAAATGCAATCACGCGCAAAATGCATCGAATGCATATGCAACGAAATGCAATCACGCGCAAAATGCATCGAATGTTGCAATGCAGTTGTAATGCAGGAGATGCAAGCGAATGCAAAAATGCACTGCATGGGCAAAAACCACACGCATTCTTGGGCAAGAACTACACTTATTCCCGTATCACTAGCTCCGAGTTAGAGGGGGCGTCCTTGCAGTTAAGGGGAAACCTGGTACGCGGGGCTAACCCTCGGAGAGTATTCTTTAGCTCCGAGTAGAGGGGGCGTTCCGCAGCTAGGGGGACCCACAGCGCGAGGGGAAAATTCCGCCGCTGGGGGAAACCCGGAGCGCAGAACCAACCCTCGGAGACCCGTGTTATGGCCCTGCGACCGCGCACCCCCCCACGGTCGAGGAAGAGGGTGCGTTCTGCAGTTAAGGGGTACCCCGGTACACGGAACCATCCCTCGGAGACGTGTTATGGCCCTGCGACCGCGCACCCCCGGGGCTAGGGCTCTCTTGCCCGCAACCCGATGCCAATCATCCGGCCCGCTGGGTGCGCTTCTCAGCTCCCCGGCCCTGGATGTGAGGTTCCGACTGCACTCCAAGTGCTCCAAGAACGCCTTGTCCGGCAGGTGCGTCATGCTTCGGGCAGCACCGCGTGCCCGTCGGTGACGACGACCTGCCAGCCGCCCACGTCAACGTCTTGGGGCAAGGCGTAGGGGTGGGCGTCGAGCGTCGAGGCGGGCACCATCGTGCACTTTGACAGTAGAGACGCATTCACAGACCTCCTCCATCTTTGTTCACACTAAGTTAGTGTGCGGAAGTGAGTGCCTCCGCACCGGCCGGCCGAGAGGGGAGTGGTCCGGCGGGTCACTCATAGTGCCCTTCGCCGGCCGGGACGGAGGCGGGCTCGGCACAGCTAACTGCTACTACGCGCACTAAGTTATCAAGAAGAAAATATAATCACGTCGGCGTCGATCAAGCTTCCTGGACGTGAGAGAGGCGCATCGCGGCGCGGAGAGGGCCGGGGAGGGGGGACTGAGCTGCGTATTGGTAGGGGCGACCACAGCTGTGTCATCCACACATTATTATGCTAACCTCGGTGCCAACACCGCCCGACAACGAGAGCAGCATGCTGCTCTCGGCTCTCGCTGTGGACCGACCCCAACCGTGGTCGGGCGATGCTGTGTCGTAAACCATGGCATTTTATGTCATTCGCCGTCGCAGCCTCCGTTGCAGCCTGCTGCTCTCCGGGCCTACACCGCCGACGCCGCCCTCCGGCTACTTCTGCCCGTCACAACCAACAGAACCGCCGTCCTCGCCTCCCGAGCTGCCACCGCCCTCTCCGTCTCAGCCACCACCCCCTCCTTCACCGTTGCCACCTCCGCCTCCGCCGCCTCCGTCCCCGCCGCCCTACCCGCCTCCCTACCCGCCGCCCCGACCATCTGGGTGAGCGGTACGGCCCTCCTCTCCGCCTTCAGCGACGCGCCTTGGCCGGCGGACAGGCTCACCACCGCGGCCTCGGCTCTGCTCGTCGCTGGCGCCTGCGTCCTGCTAGCTCATCCACGCCCGCCGGAAGTTCGCCCGCGCTTTCTGCCAGTCCCGTGCCTAGTGTCGCGAGAGGGAAAAAAGAAAGAAAGAAAGAAAAACAGACAACCCAAGGGAGGGGTGGGAGGACGGCACGCCGCCACCACAGGGATTTTAAGGAGAGGAGTGTGGTGCTAGCCGTCGCCCACCCTAACCCTTGGGCGTCTGCCTCTTTCTATCTCCCTTCGCAGTCCCTCGCCGATTCTCGCTGCAACCTTCATGCCACCTCGCGGTCGTCCCACTCCAATCGTTCTCCCTCCACTGTCGCTTCCTCCTCTGTCGCGTCGCTCTCCTCTGCCTCGTCCTGCGACGCCGCCGCCGCCTGCCGATCCCCCCCATCCCTTGCTCTGCGAGAGGGAGTTGCAAAGAAAGAAAGAAAACAGACAACCCAAGGGAGGGATGGGAGGACGGCACGCCGCCACCACACAGGGATTTTAAGGAGAGGAGTGTGGTGCTAGCCGTCGCCCACCCTTGGGCGTCCGCCTCTTCCTATCTCTCTTCGCAGTCTCTCTCCGATTCTCGCTTCAACCTTCGTGCCACCTCGCGGTCGCCCCCTTCTCGTCGTTCTCTAAAGAAAGAAAACAGACCTCTCAAGTCGTTCTGTTAATTCTGCAATTCTTTTTTCGCGCGCCGACTTTTGTGGAGATCAAGGATGCTCGTCGTTTACCTGCTGCTCCTCCCGCTCGCAAGCGGCCTGTCGGCAGGAGCCTGCGACTGCGTCGGCGGCGAAAATTTCAACGTCAGCGGCTGGAACGGGGCCGCGGCCGCCGGCGCCGATGCCGCGCTAGCTGGTAGCATCTCTGCCGCCGTCCTCCCGGGCGCATGCCTAAACGCCACCTTCGCCGAGTGTGACGACCCCTCCTCTGCCATCAACGGTGCACCCGAGTGCGAGCCCGCGGTTCTCGACGACTTCGTGGCCAGCATCAGCTCCGGCAGCATCGAGAACTGCAGCGGCTCGCTTTTCATGTTCGAGTGGCTGTCAGCTCTCGCGCAGCAGTGCCAATCGACGGGCGCGTTCATCTCGTCGCAGGGAATGCGGCGGATATTGTGTTCGCCCACGACACCCTTCTTCGATCTCGACGCGCTGGACACTGCCGCCGGCATCTTTCTCATTGGCACCAGCTACAAGTTGCCCATTGACGCTTGGCAGGGCTTCTACGCGGCGGACATAGCGGGCTGGCAGTGGGTGTCCATGCTCCCAAAGGACTATGAGGACCTCGGCTTTACCAAGGGTGAGGCGTACGGGGCGTACGAGGGAGCGCAAGGCACGGTCGATAAATACGGCGAGCCGGGCGAATACGCGTGGCCCGGTTTGGACGATATTCTCGGTCCAACGATTATAACGCCGCAGATCGTGCTGCAGCGCCTGATTGACGTGCGCTCTCCAGAGTACTTTGAGGTTGAGTACCTCGTCACGCTCTCCTGGGAGGACCAGCGCATCTTCAGCGAGTGCAACGGGACCGTCAAGTCGACGGAGGCCAAAGACCCGGGCCGCAAGGTGGACACGTGCGACATCTACTGGCGGCCGGAGCTGCAGCTTCCGAACGCGCTGGATGGAGAGGTGTGAGGCTGCACGCCGCTCTCCCCTCTACCCCCTACCTCGAATCGCACCAAGGTTGAACCGTCTCACGATTGACTCCCGCCCCCCCCCGCCCCCCGCCCCCCTCTCTCGCGCTGGCCACTCCTCGCCCCCTTTAGGTAACGCTCGTGGAGGACAGCGGTCTCACGACCGTCGTCGGTGCGGACTGGGACTCCGAGTCCACAGAACGCGTGGCGCCGCCGCGCTCCTTGGCTCTCCTCTCATACCGCCAGCGGGCCAAGTTCATGGCCGTCATCGACGAGCGTGAGCTTCCGTATGACTCGCACACGCTCGACTTTGTGATGGTGCCGCGGCGGAGCTCGTCTCAATCAGTCATCAGGTAATGGCCACTTACTGACGGCCAATGCAACAGGCGATGCCGGACGTGCTCGCCTCCGAGGCGTGCTTCCAGGTCGGCGGCCCTCGCGACACGGTCCTCGTCGACTTGCCCGCCTCGCAGCTCGGGTCGAGCTGGGGGCGGACGGGCGACCCAGTCAAGGCGCGGTGTGTGAAAGATGTTGTGCATCGGGCACGCACGCGCAGCACACTCGGGCGAGGGACTGCAGCACACTCCACGCCGCGGGGCTAGCACGCACACACCACAAGACAGCCGCGAGGACTACATGCGATCGACACCCCCCGGATCGGTCGAAGGTGTGGAGGGGCGACGACCTCCAGGTCCGCAAGTCGGTTGGGGTGGGCAATCCGATCTGGGACATTGTCGACTTCACGGCGGAGGTGGTCGTAATGCCGACAACGCTCGGGAGCGTGGCGGCGATGACTACCTCCGACTGGGCGACTGCGAACAACCCCTCCTTCCAGTACCGCACCCTCCTCGAGGCGCAGGGGTTCGACTTTGATCAGCAAGACAGCGACCCGACGAGATCCACATGCGCCCTCCGCCTCTCCATCACCATCGACCGGCGGATGAACTACCACATGTGGAACTTCATGATCATGCAGTTTGTCCTCGTCCTGCTCGGCATGTGCGCGCGGAGCCCACGCGGCCGCCGCTGGCGGCGACTCCGCGCCCTCTCCTCCCGACGCCCTCCCCGTGCCCTCCCCTCGCAGGTGCACGTTTGCGGTGGACCCGTGCGCCATCGACGCCCGGCTCGGCCTCGCCTTCACGATGGTGCTCGCGATCAACGTGTTCCAGATCCTGCTCGTCGAGAACCTGCCCGAGATGGGGGACCTCAGCAGGCTGCAGTGGTTCACCATGTGTGCTCCAGCGCTCCGCCCCGTTGCGACCCGGCCCCCGCCTCGCTTCTGTGACTCCCCTCCCTCCACATTTTCCCTCCTGTCCTCTCCCTGTCCCCCCCTCCCTCCCCGCCCAACCCCCCCCCCCCCTTTAAACAGCATGAACACGATCGTGCTCGGGCTGATGGCCGTCGAGTCAGTCGTCGTCTGCAACTGCTCCATCGAGTACAACGCGCTGCTAGACACGCAGCGCCGCCTCAAGCAGTACGTCAACGACGCCGACGCCATACTTTGCGCGGTCCGCCTGCAGCGAGCCGCCCGCAGGAGGCAGCTGCGCCGAGCCTCCTCCTCCTCCTCCTCCTCCTCCTCCTCCTCCTCATCGGCGGCGGCGGCGGAGGGCGACGTCGAGGCGGGCGCGGAGCCCTCCCTCGTCCGCCGCACCAGGGCGGCCATCGAGAGGGCGGAGGCGGACGAGGAGAATCCGAGCCGTGTGACACTGTACGTGCTGAAGCGCAAGCTAGAGCGCCTCCGGATGCGCTGCGTCGCGGGGATCGCCGTCTGGGGCGACCTGGTCTCGGCGGTCCTCATCTTCCCGGTCCTGCTCGCCCTCGCCACCGGGCTCTCTCTGGGAGGCGTGCTCGACAACTTGAGGTCCGAGGCGTGAGACAATCGCCGCGTAGTTGCCCGCCCAGCATGCACACTCTCCCGCCTCTTTTATATTATTATAGCCACCCTTCGCCACTTTGTGTAGACTGCCTATAGATTTCTGTACAGTCTATCCTATTACCTATACCTCGGAGCAAATAAATGCTGATGGATCTAGATACAAGATAATTTTGATGTTTTTTTGTCCGTGTTGCTCCCAGCGCCCTCGCCCGCGCTCCCTGCGGCCATGGCCGATGATACTAGTATGAGAGGTCATCTGGCTACCGCGAGCGCGACTCAACTCGCCGACGTCGTCCGATGATTGTGCCTCAAAGTCAGCCTTCGGAGGCTATCGTGGGGTCGAGCCGGCAGTAGCCGTGACATGTGGTTCCACCACCCCTCGCAGGCTTTGCCTCTGACCGCCACCGTTCCCAGGCTGCCTAATGGGATGGAAAGGAAGGCTCGGCGAGCGTATAGAAGCGTGCTCGACCTCGTCGTGGCAACCTGCACGGCAGCGCTGGTAGGCGCGATGAGCGTCGTGCCACCTGACCCGAGACGGGTCGCAGGCGTCGTACCGAGCGCGTCGAGACCGTGTCCTGATGCGCTCTGCACGGGCGAGTCACGTCGGCGTCAAAGGAGCGACTTGTGACCTGTCAGAGCTTGATCTCCGATCTCAGCGACGTCGAATCGCCTTCGGTGGCGACAGCTAGGATGCATCTCCTCCTTCGTTTTTTGCGCGATGGCGACTGGCCCTGGGAAGCTGGCGGTGCACGCGGACGGACCTTGTGTGTGCACGGAACGCTTAAAAAGTGGGTGCTCTACGTCACTTTTTTTGAGTAGATAGTGCCGAGCGTGACAGCGTTTTTCGCAGTTTTTGGTAGGTTTTCCAGGCGAGACTTTTTGCAACTAGTCCAAAAAGTCAAATGGATCTAACACGTAGTTTGATCTAACACGTAGTTCCCGCCGGAACGCCCACGGTCAGCAGGGCTCGCCCGCGCTCTCGACCGTCTGCGCTTGCAAGCACGCCACCGACACCTGGCTGAGCGGGACGACGACGGTGTTCGCCTGCGGAGGGCTCAGGCTGCCCTGCCCCTCCTGCCCCCCTTCGGGGCTCGTGTCCAGAAGGGAGAAGTCGTCCTCGTCACCGATGCTCGCCTCCCATTCGGAGAAGGTCACGCTGCGGCAGCCGCTCTTTTCAGGGTACGTCCTGTTGGCTGCCACCGACACGGACGCGGAACGTCGCACGGCGCGCCAGGCCTTGGCCACCTGCGCAATGCACGACCACGGCGTCGTTGCCGGCGGCGGCTTGAGAGAGAGCGGGCCGCAGCAGCCCGAGTCGCGCCGCGAGCGCGATTCCTCCAGCGTGCATCCCGCTGTCCGGCGCTCTGGAGCCTCCTCCGCGAGCAGGAAGAGCGAGCCGCAGCTCTGGTACGACAGTCGGGCGACGGTCTCTTCGAAGAGACGCAACTTGGTCTCGACCGCCGCCTCGTCTAGCGGAGGGGTTCGACCCGTCGGTTCGTGTCCTCCCGCGTCAACCACTCGCCAGCGAGCGGCTCCTGGTGCGCCGCCTGTCGGTCGACACCCTCGCCCCTGCGCTTTCCTCGCCGACGTGACAGTCGCGGCCGGCGCCGCGGTGGGCTGCACGGTGGGCCGGCGCGAAGCACGGAATGGGGCGTCTAGTGCTCCACGCACCGTCGGGTGCGTGGGCGGTAAGGAGGAGCCGCGCGGCGCGCGCGGCCTTGGTGACTGACAAAAGTTGATCAGGAATGGACTACAACACTTCGGCGACCGTCGGCGCGCCGATACGCCCGAAATAGCGATGCAATCGCAATAGCTCCCAAATAGCAAATATATCCGCGCTCTCGGCGCGTATAGCCGCGCGCCGCGTAATCACGTAAAAGCAATCGAGTTGCTTTTACGTGACGTAATATCTCGGAGTTGGAAAGTGTGAATGCGCACCCGCGCATTCGGTCATGAAGAGGCACGCCCCTCGCTGGGCGTCACACTAGCGTCATCGTGCCGAAGGCAGAGATGCGCACAGGACCAGCGCGTGCTCCGAGCCGCACGCCGAGGCGAGGCCGACGGCGCAGCGCTGTGGAGAGGAAGACGCCTCGCCGCTTTCCGCCGCTGGCGTCACCGGCGTCAGGTTGATCGGCTTGATGCGCACGCTGGCCGCGCCGTCGAGCGCCACCGCCCACCGGCCGCTCGGCGAGTCGAAGGCTTGCAGCCTCCCGACGGCGCCGTTGAGGTCGGCGCGGACCTGCAGCCCGCAGAGCGTCACGCGCCGGCCGGGCCGAAGGACGGGACCCTCGTCCGGCTCGTCCGCCTCGCCGCCCTCCTCGCCGCCCGCGCCCGCCGCCGCGTCTCCCGGGAGCTCGAGGCGCGACCACTCAATGAAACGGCGCCGCACAGTGCCGGCCACCGACGCCAGAGAAGACAGCGTCCAGAGCCACACCTCTCCGTCGGCCGTGACGGCGGTCGCGATGGAGCCGCCGAGCGAGATCGAGCGCACCGCCCTCCCTCTCAGCGGCTGCAGAGGCGCCGGGTCGCGCCGCACGCCCCCAAGGACATGCGGCGGCGCCTCGAGCAGCAGGTTGGCGAGCGATCCGCCCCAGAGGAGCACGCACCCGTCGGCGTCGATGGCCGCGTTTGCGTCGTTTGTCGCGGCCACCTGCACGAGGCCGGCGAGGAGCGGTGGTGAGGTGCAGGGGGCGGGTGCCGGGAAGCGCAAGAGCGGGAGAGGCGAGGGGTACGAGCAAGAGGCGAGGGCGGGGAGCGCGAGGGCGGGAGCAAGAGGCGAGGGCGGGAGCAAGAGGCGAGGTCGGAGCCGTAGCGAGGGCGCAGCCGAGCCTGCACAATCCGCTCGAGCCCTTGAACGGGGTGGGGCGGCGCCTGGGGAGTGTCGGACACGTCGCCCCATTGCCAGACGCGGCCGCCTCCCTTTCCGGCGGAGAGGAGGGCGAGGGTGTGGTACGGGCCGCACGCGAGCCTGACAGCGCAGGGCGGCACCCCCGGCACCGGCTTCGGCCTCCACGCGCCCTCCTCCTCGCCGACCCGAACCTCAAACTCCTCCGACCCGCCCCCACCCCACCCGCCCGCCCCGCCCACCGGGCCGCACTGCCCTCGGTCGTTCCTCCCGAAGAGGCGAACGCACCCGTCGTCCATAACGAAGCCCGCGTGCCCCGAACCGCAAGCCATGCCGACCAGCCTGCGCGCGCCCGCCGCGCACGCCTCGGCCGCCGCCGCGCACGGCGTGGGGCGGAGCAGCAGCGAGTCGCCGTCTTCCGACCGGGTGGCCCGCTCGTCGCCGGCAGGCACGCCGCAGCGTCCGTTCCGATTGAAGCCGCAGCTGAGCACGGAGCCGCCGACCAGCCGGACGAGCGTGAAGGCGTAGCCGCACTCCGCCGCCGCGGCAGGAGCGGGCAGCGCCACCCTCTCCGGCACAGTGCGCGAGCGCCGGTCTCCCAGCCCGAGCATGCCAAACGCGTTCGCGCCCCACGCCCACGCCTCTCCGGCGGGCGTCAGCGCCCAGACGTGGTGGCCGCCGCACGAGACGGAGCTGAGCGCGCACGCGGGACCGGCCACCGGGCGCGGGATGCGGTCGTCGGGCCAGCAGCACTCGCCGTCGGCGATGCCCTGTCCGAGCTGGCCAAAGGACGGCTCGGGCGGCGGCGTCGGCACGCCCCAGCTCTGCGGGCCGGCGTTGCTGCCCACAGACACGGCGCGCAGAGACGCGAGCAGCACCGCACGCGGGCTGTGCCGGTGCTGCCTCAGCCAGTCAGCGAGCGGGCCCGCGTCGGCCCACGCGCCGAAGCGCCCCGACGCCGCCGCCCCCCACCGGTGCGGCGCAGAGGCCGCGGCGCGCCAGGCGCGGCTCACGCCTGCGCACGACCACAGGTCCGAAGGCGTTAGGAAGGAGAGGACGAGGTCGAGCGAGTCGGCCGAGAGCACTGCTGTGTCCTCGTCGTCGCTGGCGCCGCCGACCGCGTCTTTGCTAGTGCCGACTGCTTCATCGCTGGCGCCGCCGACTGCGCCCTCGCTCGCGACGGGTGTCGGCCGGCGCACAGCCTCGCCCAGCGCCGCGACGCAGGCGGTGTGGCCGCGCGCCGCGGCGAGCTCCCCGGCCGTCTCGCCAAAGTCGTTACGCAGCGCCGGATCTGCGCCGCGCCGGCAGAGGAGCTCGACGACGGCTGCATGCCCGTGCATGGCCGCGCCCATAAGCGGCGTCCGGCCGCCAGCGCTGGTGAGGTTGGGCCTCGCTCCCGCGTCGAGCAGCGCCTCGCACACCACGGCGTGGCCAAAGATGGCGGCGCCTCGCAGCGCCGAATGCGACCCGGAGTCCGGAGGGTTGGCCGAGGCGCCCGCGCCCAGGAGCGAAGAGACGAGCGCGACGTGCCCCTCCTTGGACGCGAGGATCAGGGCACTCCACCCGTCCGCAGAGCGCTCCTCGGGGTCCGCGCCCTCCGCCAGCAGCGCAGCCACTCGCGCGCCATCGCCGCCCTCCGCGGCATGCAGCAGCGGGTGAGGAGCAGGGAGCGGGAAGAGGCGGCGGCCGTCCGACATGAAACACACCGCGGGCGTGTATTTGGAGCTCCCTCGCACAGAGGCGCGCGCTGGCACTAACACAGGTACACGGGACTGGCGCGCTGGCACTAACGCGGGTACACGAAAAGAAAAACGACGTGATGCACAGGTTTCACTCCTCTCAGACCACGTTGGACGAGAAGAGGGGGTGCACCGTCGTCGACGGCGGCGGCTGCTCCGGAGTACGGGCCGGCCCTTCTCCACCACCGCCAAAGTACTTGCGTCGGAGCCTGCATAGGAGGGGAGGTCGGGAGGTAAGGCTCTCGACTACACTGGCGCGCGTATCGACAGTGGCGGGCCGTGTCTCCTGGCCGCCAGCGGCGTGTCGCGCGAGTCGGCCCTAGAACGTCCTGCAGAGGGGCGCTGCTGCTGCCCGACCGCGGCGGCAGTTCGCTCCGCCGAGAGAGCGGAGACGGGAGAGGCTGGGCGGGCGGCGGGGCTCGTCGAACGCGTCGAGCCGGCGGCCTCAAACGGGACGTAGGCGGCCGGAAAGAAGGTGCTGCTCTCCCCTGTGGCAAAGTGGAGGCCCGGAGCGGGCAGCAGGCTCTCGCCGGTGGAGGGAGGGGTGAGGCCGCTGCGCCGGCGGCAGCAGACGCAAGCGGCCTGGACGAGGAACCCAGCGGCGGCGAAAGCGAGTCCTGCGGTGGCTGGCGGAAGGCACTTGCCCGCGCCGCAGCTGGTGCCAGCGTCTGCGTGGAAATGAAAGGCCTGCTCGGGCGAGAGGCCCGCGTCGAGGAAGTGGTTGGTGGCGAAGGCGACGCAAGCGCCGCCCAGCAACGCCGAGGCGGACGCCTCCACGAGGCGGGCGAGGCGCCCTCGCTCGGGCTGCAGGCGGCAGCAGGCACAGGGACTCGGCGACTCCTCCTGCCAGACGTGGATGACGAGGGCGAGGATCGCCGCGAGCGCAGCTGCGCCCGCAACGGCGCCAAACATGACAGGATCGGCAGCGCCAGGCGCGACGACGCAGAGAGTGATGGCAACAGTGGTGGCGGCGGCAAACGCGGAGGCCAAGACGAAGCTGAGGACGGAGCAAGCAGCCACAATGGCGAGCGCCACGGCGCCACACGCGCATGCGACGCCCACGCCCGCCAGCGGTGAGAGGCTTCCAGAGGCAATGACGGTGGCGTGGAGTGCGTAATAGGATGTGTAGCCCGCGACGACGCCGGCAGCGACGGCGAGAGCGGCACTAAAGAACTTGGTTCCAGCAAAGGCGAGGATGACGCCGAAGATGGCGACGAGAACGGCGAGCGCGTCGACAAGCGGAGGCGGGAGGTCAAAGACGGAGGTAGAAGAAGGCGCGCTCGGTGGTGAGGAGGGCGGCCAGCCGAGAGCGTCCAGCGGCGTAGAAGCGTCCGTCATCGAAACCGACCTGAAATGCAGCGTCAGGGTCGGAGAGGCCGCGAAGCAGGGCGGGCGTGACGCGATGGCAAGGGACCCGGGGTTCGAATTCTTTTTCATTTCATACAAAACAAAGAGTTCTTTTCGCACGAATTTTATTTAGAAATTAAAATGAACTCGGGTTAATTAGAAACAGCCCATCATCCTTGCCACCACCGGCACGCAAACAAAAAACAAACTCTTATGTCCACAGGCGGCGTAAGCCATCTGCTCCATCCCTCACTGGTATGTTCATTGGGGGGGGTCATAACAAACACGGTACAGGATCGAGGTGCACGCTGCCGAAGCAGTGTCGTCCCCCCTCTCCCCGACGGCGATGGCGGTGTGACCGATCGAGCTACAAGAGGAGCTTGTTCAGCAGGATCCGGGATAGTCTGACGCACTGCCTCACTGGGTCTGAGATCATCGAGACGCTTCCCATCACCGTCTCGGATTCATGTGGGATCGAACCACTCCGGGATGGGCAAGCCCATCGTTCTCATTGAGAGCTGTGCCTACCATCTTGTTAATTGTCAAAATTCCTGTTGTGCAGGACGAGGGGAGATATTCTTACCTTCTTGCCCCCCTCCGAGACTGGAGACAGTCACACCCCAGTATCAGACCAGGGGGAGTGCCCCCCGCCCCCGCTTGCCTTGCCTCTCTTACTTGGAATTCTTTTATCTCCACACGGTACCTGTGTCGAACCTGTGTGCTGTGAGAGGGAGTGCTGCCTGAATTCTTTTATCTCGGTTTTGGCCAAAGCCTTGCTCTTGGACAATGCACAGCCCTCGCGCTGCGAACAACGAGCCCTCGTCGAGCACGGACATCGAGCGGCCGGCGCTCTCAATATCACCGCCCGCCGGGGGTCCCTCGCCTGCGCCGTGCGCCTGCGCACCGTGCTCCGCCCCACGCTGCCAGTCCGCGCCGCTTCCGCTCGTCATCGTGGTGATCATCGCTCTCAACTACATCCCCTACGTCCTCTGGACGCTCGAGAGGCGGCGGCACCTCGCGCTGACCATCACGCTCGTCGTCATATTCCACGCGCTGCTCGGGCTCGTCGTCTGCGCGTGGGCGTACACTTGCGGCACGGACCCGGGCGTGCCGCCGTCGCAGTGGCAGCGCCGGATGGCGGCGCTCGCAAAGGCGCGGCCGGGCTCGAGCGAGCTCAAGGTCTGCCGCCGGTCGGGCCTGTACAAGCCGCCGCGCTCGCACTTTTGCAGCGTGACGCGGCGGCTGACGCTCAACATGGACCACTACTGCCCGTGGGTGGCGAACACGGTGGGGCACTACAACCGCAAGTTCTTCCTCCTCTTCCTGCTCTACACCTGCCTCCTCCTCGCCTACGTCCTCCTCTCGATTGCGCCGCAGCTGCCAGACCTCTTCGACTGGGCCCTCGACGGCACAACTGGGCGGGCGGGCGGACATCGGTCCGGGGGTCACGTCCACGACGCGTCCGTGGCGCGGCGAGTAGGCGACGGGCGGTGGGTGGGCGGTGTGGCGTACGCCGTGGTGCTTGGCGTGATGCTTGCTGTGGACGTGCTGCTCCTCCTCCTCCTCGGCCCCTTCATGCGCGCGCCCGCCTAGTGCCGAGAGATGGCTTGCCATCCAAGCACCATGGCATGCCCGCGAGTCCCCCCGTACATTCTCCTACCCGCCGAGAGAATGGCGGGACGCGCCAAGAGATGCCGAGAGATGCCGAGAGAGAGAGGAGAGATGCCGAGAGAGAGAGAGAGAGAGAGAGAGAGAGAGAGAGAGAGAGAGAGAGAGAGAGAGAGAGAGAGAGAGTGAGAGAAAGAGAGAGATGCGCCGTGGTGCAAGGGGTCGCTGCGCTGCAGGGTGGCTGGAGCCGCCACCCCTTGACCTCCCGCCCCCGTAGGTGCCTGCACTGGAAGATGGCGATGCGCAACCAGACGACCATCGACGGCGACCCCGACTCCGCAGCAAGACGCCGCCGGACGACTCAGTGCATGACTGGGTGGTTCCTTGTCATCAGGCGACAAGCTGCCGCAGTACGACATCGGCCTCTCGGCCAACCTCGAGCAGATCCTCGGCCGCCGCAGGCTGCACTGGTTCTGCCCGTGCTATTGCGACGGCCCCGTCGGGGACGGAGTGCACTGGCCGACGAAGACGGGCGGGGCAGCTCTCGTGCCGCTCGGTGGCAGCGGCACTCCCCTCCGCACGTCTGCCGCCGCCAGCCCCCGCCAGGCCTGCGCCGGCGGCTGCGCGCCCGCCGCCGCCTCGTCCGCCTCCGCCTCCACCGCCGCGGGCAGCCGACCAGCCTCGCCCAGGGCCTCGCCTGCCCGCGCGAGCGGCGGCGCCGGCCCGTCCAGCCAGCCCGCCGCGCCTTACCGCGCCGTGCCGGCGCTGGTCTACTCGGCCCCAGCGGCGAGCCCGGAGGCGGCGGGCGCGCCGGTGCAGGTGTCGGCGGCGGCGGTCTCGCACCCCGCGCGGTAGTGAGAGGCCGCGGCGAGGAGCTGAAATGCGGCATGCGACCGGCCCCGATGTGGTGTGTCGAGAGCCGGAGCGCGCCTTTTTGCTAGTCCGCGCACAGGTCATGCAAAACGGGCCCTGAGTGTCACCGAAACACGTACACCGGCACATTGTCGGCCGATGCGCGGCTCGCCGCCCACCCCAGGCGGTCCCTAGGTGTTATATAGCATAAACACCGTCCGTGCAGGGCTCCTAGGCCATCACTGGGTCCACAGTGGACGGACACACAGCCTCAGCCGGCCCGGCGGGCTCCCGACCAGAGCCCGTCCGGAGGCCACAAACGGACACTCTACCGACCTTTACACCCCTAGACAACCCACTCCGACTAGCATACGGTGTCGGCCCGACCGCCCTGCGGCCCCAGCTACCAGCTGGCGCCGCTCGGCCCGGCTGGAGGCGACTGGGGCGCCCAAAATTGCGGAGCCGGCGACGTCCTCCGGCCAGCAGCCGGATCGGGCGTCCGACCCGCCCCCTCGGCGACCCGAGATGGTCTCCCCGACCCCCGAGGCTTGGCGCACCGCGCGAGGGGGGCAGCCCAGCCACCCTGCACCGCCCAGGCCGCCCTCTGCGAGCCCAGGCGCGCCGTAGAGAGTGCCGACGCGATGTCGACGATTTTGGCCTGCGAGACGGGGGCGAGGAGCGGTGTGAGGGCGCCATGTGCCCGGGCGACGGGCTAAGGGGCCGCTACACGGGCCGCAGAGCTCACCAGCGCCGGCACGGTGGCGCTGGTAGCGATGGTGTTGCTTCGGCCGCCTTTGGCAGTACCTGACCGAGGGCTGACTCACGACGGCGACGGGGCTGCGAGCCGGGTGGCGGGGTGCGGGGAGGAAGGAGGGGACGCGCCGCGAGAGGGGGGGAGGGGTGCTCTCACGTCTGGCTGGCCCGCCCCGGCCCCCACGGGGTCGGGATGGTCGATGCTGCTGCTCTAGGCGGTCGTTCCGGGTCGCCAGACCGGTCCTGCGGCGGAGTCGGAGTGTGAGGGGCAGGGGCACGGCCGTGCGGCGGAGGGGACGCGCATCGCGCAGCTCGCAGCAGCCCGAGAGGGCCTGAGCCCGGCCAGGGAGTTACCCACCGCTCGGGCCAAAGAGACAGCGTCGCTGGAGGTGCGCCCCGCGGCCATTTTGTACGCCCGATGCACGCCTGACCCGGGAGGGGGAGGGGTGGTCAGAGAGACGCGGCGGGCCGGGGAGAGAGGGGACGCGCGCGCCTTCGAATACTCACTCGTGGCGCCGGCCGGCTCGCAGGGGCCGCCAGCGCCGCTACGGAGGCGCTGCCCGCCGAGAAGGTGCTCGGGAGGGGCGCTGGTCACTCCTTGGCGGCGCCTGCGGCCGGAGGGACGTGGGCTTCGGCGTGGCGAGCAGCGCGGGCGAGAGAGGGACGGCGCGCGGCTCCCAAACGAGCCGCACGGGCTTCGTCTGGGCCGCCGAGGCCACCTCCTTGGTCGCGGCGGCGGGCGTGAAGGCGAGGTGGGCCGAGGCAAGCGTTGAACGTGCCGCCTTGCGCCCCTGAGAGGGACGCGTGCGTGGGGTGCCACGGGCGGGGGGGGAGAGGTGAGAGGAGAGCGGTGGTCACCCCCACGAGGGGTGCGCGGACGCCGTCTGCCCCCCCCAGCCGGCCACTGATGCCGTGGGGGCGGCACGATCGAAAGCGGTGGTCGGGCGGGCCGTCTGAGTCGCCTGAGCGGTGCTCTGCCGGCCGGCGGACGCGCCCGAGGGTGGCCCGAGAGGGCTCAAATGACGGAGCCGCTCCCCGGCCGTCCCGGGCGCCTGTCACGCGGGCCGATGGCCCAGCCGTCCTGTGCGTGACTGGAGCGAAGGGGGGGGAGCTCAGGAGGGCGACGGGGCAGGGAAGGGGGCGGTGATGCGGTGCGGCGGGGTCTAATCGGCGGTGTGGAGAGAGGAGGTGCCAAAAGGCGACTATAAAGAGGCGTCTACGGGTGGTATGGTGCGCCACGACGGCGGGAGAGCTCTCTCCCGCCGCCCCGCGGGCCTCCCCGAGGGGCCTTGCAGCCCTACGCGCTCAGGCGCCGCTGTCGCGGGCAGAAACGCAGCCGGGAAGGTGTCTCGGGCGCCATCTAGAGGGAGCCGACCCGGTCGCGTAGGGGAGGCAAGCGCGAGCGGGTGGAGGGCAGTCTCGACCCGCCTACGGCGTTGTCGTGTTGGAGGGTGTGTGGGCGACCTTGCATTGAGTCAGAAGCGTCGCCGCGCGCCGCCATCGCCCGCCGTTAGATTCTTGCCGGTGAGCGCACGACGCAGCACACCTATCGTCAGAGGGGGGGAGGGTGAAGCGCGAGCGTTTCGTCGACCTAGGAGCCGCGGCAAGCGGCATGTAGCCCACTCATAGCCCCGACCCAGGCCTCGTAGCTTCAGATCGCGCGCGCAGGGTCGAGATAGCCGTCACGAGACCTAAACTCGAAAATAAAATGGTGAGTTCGCCGACTCGAGAACGGTGGCTTTTATCAAACCATGCTGCGGGGTTACAAAAGCGCGTACCCATTTTTGCACCTTCCGCATCAATAGAGGCCCAGCCACCACTGAACGGTGGTGGACGGCTGTCGCGGAGCCCGACAGCCGCGACAGCGGCGGCCGGGCCAAGGAGGCGGCCGAATGGGTGCTGCTCGTCGAGCCAGCGGCTGCCGCTGGCGACGAGGGGGGTCCGGACCCGCGTCTGGGGGCGGGTGGTGCACCGGCTCGATGCCGGGCGAGCGCAGCGCCCTCCAGTCGGAGCGGCTCGGGCGAGCGAGGCGGTGGCTCTATGGGCGTTTAGAGGGGCGCCCATCGCTTCTCGCAACTCCGCAACGCTGACTTTGGCACATCGACGATACACCCTCGAATAAATCTCAGATTTATTTTGCATGACCTGCATACGTGTCGGGAGACGTGGAGTCCCGCCTTTGTGCCTTCGTTTTAGATTAGCCGACCTGCGGTTCTCTCGAGTCTCGTGCGGATTCGTTTGATCCGTTTGTGTACTCGACTTTGTACTCGACTCGTCTTCATCGGCATTGCGTTGCGGTGGCAGTGTGCCAGTGGCGCCGCAGAAGTTCTGAAGTTGCGGCAGATGCGTGGCTTGGGCTAGACCATATGAGTCATGAGCATGACGCATGAGAGACCAAGCTGCCGACACCGCGGCACGCCGCGCCCTCGGGGCCGCCCTCAGCCACCACGCCGCCACGACCGCCGGAGTCGTCCGCACGCAAGCAGCGGTCCGCATCTGGGGGGCTTAGGCCCCAAACCGGAGAGATCCGCGCTTTTTCGCGGCTAGCGCCGTCTCTCCTCGTCAGTCCACGCCGAAGCCCTTGGACGCGAGGAGCTCCTCGGTGAAGGACCACAGGCCGCGCTGGAGCGTGACGTTCCGCGCGTGGCCGTCGAGCGTGGAGGCGGGCCACTCGCGGGCCACTGGAACAAAGTACTTTCCGTGCGCGCCGGCGTGGCCGAGCATCGGCCCGGCGAGCGCCGCGTACGCCACGGAGAGGCCGCCGACCTCTTCCGGCCAGTAGAACGCGAGAAGCGCCCGCTCGACCGCGTCGAAGAGCGGCGAGAGCGGCGCGGCGCGCGAAGAGGCGGCGGCCTTGGACCAGCGCAGCAGCTCGCCCTGCACGGCCCCAGGGTTGACGGCGTTGGCGGAGACGCCCTTGGCGTGCAATCTCGCGTCCAGCTCCTGCGAGAAGAGCAGGTTGGCGAGCTTGCTCTGCGCGTACCACGCCTGAGGGCTGTACATCGCCGCGTCGTTGATCGCGTCCAGCTCGAGCAGGACGCCGCCGGCCTGTTCACGGCCACAGCTGTGAGGAGGCGCCGCTCACCGCCTCTGCCGCTCGCGCGCGGGAGCGCCGCCGGCCGGCTTGGGCCACTCGTGCGCGAGCGAGGAGACAGCGACGCACGAGGAGGGCGCCGAGGCGACGAGCAGCCCCTGCAGCTCGCGCGCAATCAGAAAGTGTGCCACGTGGTTGACGCCGAACTGCCACTCGATCCCCTCCTCCGTGAGCATGTGCGGGGGGAACATGACGCCCGCGTTGAGGACGAGCGCGTGGAGGCCTCCGAGCGCCTGCAGCTTGGGCCGCACCTGCGAAGACTCCGAGAAGGTTCTCAGGAGGTTCCTGCAAGAGGCCTCTCAGCGGCTCGAAGCTCGGGCCGCACCGCCTCGCAGAAGCGCTTCACCGACGCGAGCGACGAGAGCTCGAGCGGGAGGCAGTCGACGCTGGCCCTCGGACCGGCGGCGGCCTTGATGCCCGCCACCGCGCCGGCGCACTTTGCCTCGCTGCGCGCACTCACGATGAGCTGCGCGTTGGCGCGGGCGAGCACGCGGGCGGTGCCGCGGCCGAGCCCGACGTTGGCGCCGGTGATCAGCACCACCTTGCTAGAGAGGTCGGGCAGGCTCGCCTCGTCGAAGCCGCGCGGGATGCCGAGGTGCAGCAAGGGCGTGGTGCCGGAGACTGGAGAGAGGCGCGAGAGGTACCCCCAGCCGGCGGCGAGCGCGGCGATGGCGAGGCCGGTCGCCGCCCCGCACGCCTTGCGCTGCGGACCGCTCTTGGCCGCTGGTGCCGACGCAGAGCCGGAAACGTTGGGGCGTGCCGGTCGGTGCTGCCGCCAGAGCGCCTCGAGCTCTGAGCGGGTCGCCTTGCTGGACGGGAGTGCAACGTCCATCCGGAGCAGCTCCTGCCGGATCTCTTTGGCGGTGCCAGGCGGCTCGTCGGACATGCTTGGCGATGATTGCTTTTTGAGTCGTCGCTGCTGGTCCAGAGGCCGGCAGCGGCTGAACGCTCGGTCGACTCTGGGGTTGATTGCTTCGAGCCGAGAGCGAACACACGGCGAAGCCCGGGCGGCCAGCGTGCAAGGCGCTACGCGGGTACCCGCGTACGGGTACAAGAATTCTTTGACGGCGCTCTAAAGTCCCCCCCCCCCCCCCCCCCCGGGGAGGGGGGCCCCTTTTCTTCGGGGCGAGGGGAAGGGGGCCCCCCCCCCCGCGAAAGGAAGGGCGGGGGCCCCCTTCAACGCAGGCGCGGCGGTCCCACTCGGAAAAAGGGAAGGGAGCCTGCCCTGCGTAAAACGTGGGGCTCCCGAAAACCTTAACCGAACTCCCCCT